AGATCAACAACAACAAATCTTTTGGAGCTCTCTTCCTTTATTATAAAGGGCTTCCATAATAATTGCCAGACAGATGTAATCTATACTGATTTCAGTAAAGCATTTGACTCTGTTAACCATTGTCTCCTCGTTAGAAAACTCGATTCAATGGGTTTTTCAAGTGATCTTCTTAATTGGATCTCTAGTTATTTGAATGGCAGGACGCAAAAGGTCCTCTTTAAGAATAATTTATCCAATGTTCTAAGGGTTACATCTGGCGTCCCCCAAGGAAGCCATTTGGGACCCTTATTGTTTACATTGTTCATAAATGACCTGCCCAAAGTCTTGACTAACTCCAGAGTACTTATGTACGCAGATGACGTCAAGCTTTGCGTGCAATACAATGACGTTGCCTGCCAGTCGGATTTACAAACAGATCTTAATAATTTTCAAACTTAGTGCCGTGTAAACTTTTTAAACTTAAATGGGTCGAAATGCAAGCTAATGACATTCTCTCGTGTAGTTCCTAAGCTTGCTACTTACACGCTGAACTGCTGCTCTTTGGAAAGAATTAATTCTGTTAACGATTTGGGCGTCCGCTTGGACCCAAAACTTGACTTTATTGATCATATTTCGTCTATGGTGAATAGAGCCAGGGGTGTGCTTGGATTTATTAAACGGTGGTCGAAGGAATTCAATGACCCCTATGTTACTAAATCCTTATATACTTCCTTAGTTCGTCCTATCCTAGAATATGGATGCCATAGTAAACGCATTGAGTCGGTTCAAAAGAACTTTTTACATTTCGCTCTACGCGGTTTAAATTGGGATGCAAACCAAAGATTACCTTCCTGCTCTAGTAGACTCCTATTAATAAACTTGCCGTCCTTAGCCAATCGTAGAACGATGCTAGGGATAACCTTTATTTTTATCCTTATACATGGTGATGTGGAAAGTCCTGACTTGTTGAGTCAGCTTAATTTCCATGTACCATGTAGAACTACTAGATCCTATATCCCATTAGTGTTGCGCCACAGTAGAACCTCCTTTGAAGTGCATGAACCTTTTAGAGTGCTATATGCAAATTATAATGATTTGTACACACTAATCTCTAACGTAGATACCCTTCCCAAATTAAAATCTTTAATACTAACAAACTTGGTAAGCATGCAAGCTAACAATCTGGCAGCACGCCGGTAGTCAATTTCCTCGTATTCTGTCCTATATTTTCCATCGCGCCTAATAACACCTAACCCAAACAGGCACGTGCCTGGTGTCATACGGCCCACTTGAATGTACTGACCTTAGTGCATCAACGTCCAAGAAATGTCATCAATAGTCCACTGTCATCAACAATTCATCAACGCGCCGACTGCGATTTCTACCGAGGCATCAACAAATTCATCAACAATTCATCGATGTTTCATCATCAAAATTCATCGACGGCCGGGCAATGGTACTCTTGACGACTGCCATCTAGACTACCGCCATAACTGTATCGTGGGCAGAGCGTCGTAGTAGAAGTTGCAGTCGGCAGAGCGTCGCCTCGGTAGAAGTCGCAGTCGGCAAAACGTCGCCTCGGTAGAAGTCGCAGTGGGCGCGTTGATGACTTGTTGATGACAGTGGCCTATTGATGACATGCGCTGCTGCAGTGATGTTTGTTATGTACAAATGTATGTATGGCGCATTGTGCTCTCAGAAACTTGCATAAAATGGTACTTACCAAGAAAAATAGCTGTAAGTGGCAATATATCCACTTCTCAAATACATCATAGCAATCCGCTTCCTGCCCGTTGCAATCACTGCGTTAAGTTTTACTTCATTTTATTTGACTTTTATTCATATTTCCACAAGTAAACTTTTCGAAATAAAATGCGATAGAGCTAAGCCTGACCGTACCAATCATAGCCATAAATATACTAGAATTTATTTAAGTAGGCAGAAAAAGTTGTTGATTTTAATTAAAAATTAATTTAAATTTATGGCTCTGGCAACAAATTTATTTGATGCTGACCTAATGAATACAAATATATATACCCTAGACCAAACAGGAACAAGAAATACTTTACATACTACTCTACTGTAACTCGACTGCAGTTGACAGTCATTTGGAGTTCGGAAAGCCAACAACAAAAAACACACAAATAATCTGATACGTAATGATACGTAAGGGTCACTGTATGTGACTGTCACGACAAAAATTTTGTAAATTCAACCCACCGACGAAGCGGGCAATCGAAAAATGCATCTTGTATTATATCCCCATGCAAACATATCTAAGATACTAGGGTCTTGGGCAAGGCGAAGTACTTCATAACGCTTGATTTGAAGTCTGGCTATCACCAAATCACACTGGCAGAGCGTGACCGAGAAAAAACTTCCGTTTCCGTAAAAGGAGGAAAGTTCGAGTTCTGCACTTAAGAGTCTGCAAATGAGAGTATCAACACATAAATAAAGAATTTGTGCCTGGCCAGCTATTATCGATGCTTTATTAAAGATTTTGCATCAATAGCAAGGCCCATTTCAGACATCCTAAAAGGTGAGCGCAGGGGAGGCACAGGATCAAAAAAATGTCGCTCACGAACACCATTGAAACCAAGGATAAGCCTTTGAATGGCTTTCAAAACCAGATAACTCTGAAGGAGGCACGCTTTCCGTCTAAAAGCAGCTTCGTGCTCTTTGGAAACAAGAGACGGCATAACATAGACTTTACATGCAAGCAGTCGTTGCTTAAGGAGCTCGCGGACACCGTTGTGCGGTCACACGCGCTTTGCACACGCTAGCGATGATATAGGACGAATTGGTTCGGCAATTCCCAGCCACCAAATTTTGGCACTGCAAAAACCGAGTTACAGATATTTTTGCAGTAGCTGAGAAACGAGAAGTCCTCAATACCGTGCATAACGGGGGTCACAGATCGGCACAGGAGAAGGTTAAGCAGGTATTTTCGGAGTACAACTTCCGAAAAATAAACAGATTAGCTAATGAAATAGTCACTAACTTCAACACCTGCGCCAAAGGAAAATATAACAACCAAAGAAAGACGAGCTCGGCGAAAAGCCAGTCCCCTCTCATGTTGGAAATGCTACATATCGACGTTTTCTCCACAGATAGGAAATACTTCCTTACATGCATTGACAAATTTTCAAAGTTTACCATGGTCCAGCCAATTCCCTCTAGAACCAATGAGTCAGAGTCATTTATTGCGACAATGCTGAAAAATCCCTTCGGCGTTAGCAAATCAAATGTACCGGCCCTCCACAGCGTCTCAAAAGGACAAGTGGAGCGTTTCAACAGCACTCTGGTAGAGCTTGCCAGATGCCTTAAAATCGACAAAGGCATCGTGGAGCTTATTTTGCTGACCACTGCCATTCGATCATCGATCAATCGGGTGACCCACAGCTCGAAATACAGTATAAGCATTCCCAAGTTAAGTTGAGAAACAGGGAAAATGCTTCGGGACAAAACAGGATGTTCAAAGTTGGTTACAAAGTCCTAGTGGAATCCAACAGGAGGCTAGGCAATAAGCATTCACCGTTATGCGGGGAGAAAACTGTGGAAGCAGTCATGGGGACTACAGTCCTCATTAAGGGGAGGGTGGTCCACAAGGACAACCTTAGGTATGCAAAGCACAACCATGTTGCCATACGTCTGGTATTTTTTGATCATTTTTACTATTTTTATCGCTAGCCATTTGGCATAAGTTTTTGTCATAATTACGTTTTTATTATTTTTACACATTTACATATTTACAAATGATTTAATTAATCACACTTCATCTTTTATGTTTTGGTCTTTTATGTTATGTCCAAAATTACAGGTTTACATCCATACCCCTGCTATTCCTTTAGACCATAACATCATCACACACTACTCAGAGGCCAAAATATTCCCATCATTGATGTATTTTAGTATGGGAAGAATTCGCGATCGTTAAGCATTCGGCGAATCTCTCAGAATATAGGCGCGTGGTGAAAGAAACTGGTGGCATGATCAACATGTTGATCCCCAGAAACACATGCAGAAATTTTTGAGCGTAGGTGTCGCTCACCTGTGTGACCTTCTCGATACATTGAGCATCCCCCATAGGGTAACTAGGAGTTAAGACTTCTTGGGAACGGCGTTAAAAGTAGTTGCGGGAGCGCCAGACGCAGGGGACTTTGAAAAAAAAACATAATTAATTTCAATTAGTTAATGCAAAGAATAGGGAAATAAATATTAAAAATAAGGTACAGGATCAAGTTAATAAAATTTTCGCCACTGTCAATCAACTTCTGAGTTAGGCTAAAGAATTCCAAATTGACTCGGGACACCTATATGGTACATTATTGACCCAAAATAGGATGATTGCAATGAAGCTACAAAATGTATTACTAGCAATAGCTCTTGCTAAAGTCAATATCATTAGCTAAATCTGAAAGGTGTAGGGATTGAATAGCCCACAGACACCCCATTAAAGACAATTTTTCCGTTGCGTTCGTAAAAATTTTACTATTTATTATCATTTTGTATTTCATTATTAAATTTCTTTAAATTAAGTCATATCGGATTGTAGTAGAGAAACCCACTCGGCCAAAAATTGCTCCATATCACCGAGAGCTACATTTTGCCTACAAGCGCTATGGTCATGCGCCCAGGAGCTTCACGGTGGAGACATAGCGCACTGCGACATCCAACACAGCAATTTGCATCCCATTACTTACGTATGTTAGATGAAGGCATCACGTAAGTGTTAAGTGGCTTAACTGATCGGCGAGTCACCCAGGTCGGACGAGGGTGGCCTCGTTCCTGAGGGAGTGTAGTTAGCTAAGGTCATTGTCCGACCGCCCAACAACAACCATTGGACTTGGAGGCCAAACTCACAGCTACGAGGAACCACCGATACGAAGAGTAAGGTCTTCATTCACTTAGTTCCGAGACGAGAAAAACAGCAGTTCCGCGCCAAGCAGTTCGCTCTCACGACCTGGCGTCTTCTCTCCAGGAATTCAAGGCATAGAATCTTTAAACAGAACCAAAGGACTATTCCCCACGATGGCATCCACGTCGAAAGCGAAACTGGTGGTCTTTGCCCTGGACATACTGTGCACGTTGCTGGCCCTAGTGTTGATATCCTTTGGTTTCTATGTACTAGTGTCCTATAATCTGAATCAAATCGGTTCTCTGGCGCCCTATGGATACGTGGGTCTGGGAGTAGCTGCCCTGGTGGTGGTCCTCTGGGGATACCTTTCCGCCTGGCGCGAGAATGTGTGCTGCACAGTCACGTTCATTGTGTTCCTATGCCTCGTCATCATTGCCCAGTTCGCCGTGGTCTACTTGCTGTTCACCCAGAATGAGTCGGTGGCCGCCAACCTAGCCAGCGCTCTGGACCAAACCTGGGTGGAGGAGCTAAACAGTCCAGGTGCCATGTCGCTCTACCAGAATTGGTTCCAGTGCTGTGGTCGAGGCAGTCCCCAGGATTATATTGTGAACGAACGCCTACCCCCAGTGACCTGTTTCCGTGACCATGATAAGAGCAAGCCCGAGAACCTAATCCATACCGGCTGCACCTGACCAAGATTTTCAATATTATTGGTTTTGTGCTGATCGGTCTTGAGCTCATGCTGTCCATTGCCTCTTGTCGCCTGTGCAACAGCTTACGCAACGATGCTCGGCGATCTTACTTCTAAAGAAACCCTTTAGGGGATCCTTCTCAAGGATAAAGCAAATTACATACATGTATTGATGGTGACGACTTTTGAAGCAAAATAAGAAAATATTACATGTTCTAATTGGTTCGGAAATTTGAAAAGTAATTGGTATAATTTTTGAAATTGAAACTCAAAACTACACGAACCCAGTACTATGCTAGGGGTTGATCTAACTTACACATGAATTTCAATGAAATCGTTGAAAATAACTCACAAGCGCTAGTGTAAGAAATCTAAACTAGTTTTAATAATATTTATTACAATTTTACCATTTTTATAAGAGAATTATGTAAAAGGTCAAGCCGCAGCACTGCACTGTTTAGCATCTGTCTTCACATCTATAAATACATAACCGCTTCTTGGGCCTAAGACATATGTATACCTGCGATGTAATGGGTCCTCCTCCTGTTTTAGTAGCGGAAATTGCTCGTTTTTATCTGCGTGGCTCTTTCACTTGTACATGAGTCTGAGCGGACCGGATCAGACGACTATAGCATAAATCTGCCATAAGACCAATTAAAAATTAATACAACAAACATTTATAAATTCGATGTGTTTCAAAATAATTCTTTCTACTTAGAGATTTAGCCTATTTTTTATATTTTATATGTAAGTTCTGATTTAATTTTATGAAAATCGAGCGACTATATCATATAGATGGCATAGAAACGATCGTCAAATGTAATGCGAAAATAAAAAACTGTGAATATAAAACTGTTGCTGTAAAACAATAAATATAAGAGAATATAATAAGAGCAGGCATTAAATCTTTGCTTTTTAAGTTAGCTTCCTTTCTTGTTAATAATTGAAGTATCAAATTACAAGATACCTACACTAGAAAAAAACTATTGAAAGAATAAATAATTATAAAAAATGGCGGAGATTTAGGAAGTCTCTTAAAATATATGCTAGACAGCACAATTTTTATCTGAAATTATATTTTGTAACTATATTAAATTACCTACAGTCTGACGTGAACGTTTGTAAAATTGTTTTATTTTTTAGAAAATGGGAGCATTATCTCGAGTAAATCCTACGTCATGCCATAGAAGTGTTACTTATATCTGACAATACCAAAATGATATTGTACTGGTTTCTAGACGAAAATAAGCAAAAATTCACATATTTTAAGACTAGGACTCTGAGCATTTGAGCATATTGTGAAAAAATGCAGTCATTATATAACTCATTATGTAACCCATGTAGTCCAGACTTAAGCCCAAATAAAAATGTTAGGGGAATTTTAAACGCAAAAGTGGCAAACCAAGCCCAAAAAAATGAAAATAACCTGAAAACTGTCATATTGGGGAATGGGTGACGATTTCATAGTCCTTGGACAAGTCAAAGTTGATAAATTTGATAAAAACGGGATTGGAGGATTGGATTGGACGTTTGTGCTATTCAAATTGGCCATGCAATTATTAAAGTATTCTCTGTTAAAAAGTAAGAACATTTTTTGATTGTCAGATTGTATTTTTTCTCATAAATTAATTCTTAGATATCTAAATATAATCGAAATAAAACTTTTTTATTATGCTATTAAACGGTATCTTTTGATTTGTATGGCATTATCTTAATCTAAAGTGTCGAAAATTTTATAAGCACTTGCGAGCTGATGATCCATTCTCTGTGCAGAAACAGATACCCCGTTTTAACATTCGTCGGAAATTAAACAATACTGAACGACTGCAGCTCTTACAGTTTGGCCGATTGATGATTCAATATTTAGCGTATGTACATTTTCATCAAAACTTAAACCGCCAAATGTACTATTTTATGCCATTACGTATGTGTCGGAAACGATCTAAATCGCTGCGGAGCATTGCGGAACCATGAGTAAAGAGAGTAATCGAAAAGGAGGCAGCTTAAATCAGCCGTCCAAAAAGAACATACATAAATATAAAGTGATATTTATTATCATAACATATACGATTTTACACGCTTTGTATTAAGGGGAATGTTGAGTAAATAACAATAATCATATGGTCACATATTTTATTTTATTAAACTTTGGGGACTATATCTATCTATCTATCTTCAATAAGGGGTCGACCAAATCTTATAATTGAATTACCTTCAGTTAAATTCACCAACTAGTAATACTTCTATGTTTACAGATTATAGTATGGTTAACTTCATAAAACCATTGTACCTTGGAACTGAGAGGGAGTTCGCTAATTTGTATGCAAATCCTATAAAAAATGGTCAGCATAAAGACTCAAGTAAAAAGGATATTACCATAATGAAGCAACGATCTTATGTGCTACACAAAAACTATCTAAATTTGTTCAGGTAACTTATTTATAGTTCTTTACCCTACAATGGAATTATAAAATCTAATAACAAATCTTATACCCAGTAACCATAGGCTACAATGATATTATATATTTTTTTTATTAAGTGAACCGACTATTAAGAGACTTCTCCGACCCGATAAAGTAAATATATTCTTGGTAAGTCAGCCATGTTCGCATGTCCGCCCATCTGTATGAACTAAAGCGATACATTTTGGGAATTTCTGTTTAAAGTAAACTTTTACAATGAAGATTTTTACCTGTCTGGCTGTACTATGACGAGTATATGAGTTATCGGCTTTGCGAAATATGTTCCCAAAATATTGAAACAGAAAAAAGAAAAAAAATACCCAAATTTAGTCGTAACTAAACTTTTTGACCTATTTCATGAACAGAAAGTTTTACAGATTCAGTTGTACATTCACAGTTTCGCATTTTCCTCACCCTGAGCTAAAAAATTGGGTATTAAAGAAAATTTTCGGTTCTATCAGGTCAAGGACCCAAAGCATAATTGTTCAGTCTTGGCTTGGATGTCCCCACATTATGAAACCACCAGCTCAAGGGCGGACATACTACATTTTAAGTTTAAAAAATAAATTTTATAATAATTATACCTCTTTTATTTTTTGGGTCAAATAAGCTGTGAGCCAGTGTATATGATATAGTGGTCCGATTTTTTTAAAATTATGAAATATCATAACAATGATACATTTTTCATCTTTCCAAGTGAACGGACGTGTTTTTTTTCTTGCGCTCTCGTTTTGTATTAAAGATTGATTCTAACCACCGGGGTTAACTTAAATTTTCTAATTTGTGTTTATAACTTCCCGTTCACTTCGCGTGTGCATGCAGCTATTCTAATTTGTGTACATAATTGGCTTTATTTTCCAATTTAGTTGTGCTGCTAGTGTTAGCTTTTGCATATTTTGCATTCCTTTTTGTGCCTTCTTCGTCTAGCTTTTGTTTGCGCCGTCGCAACAGCTAAACGATTTATATATCCATCTCCCACGCTCTCTCACTCTCTCGCTTTAGCTGTGCCGCTGCACTTCTTATCTAATCTGAACTTATTCGCTCTCCCGCTCTCTCGCTCTCGCTGAGACTCTTCACTTCTTTCTTAATTGCTCTGTTTTTATTTTTTCAAAGTACAAGTACAGTGGTAAGTCTATACAATGTCCGGAAATATTGTCTGTTTCGTCAAAGCCTGCAAAAAGGCAATTGTTGCAGGTGACCTTACAATCGGCTGCTGGCTGTGCGACAACGTCATGCACGCCAAGTGTATTGGAGTTGCAGCTCGGACGGTGGACGATGTAAAAAAAAACATCGGTCTGCGTTTCTGTTGTGAGGCCTGTCGCGATGTAGAAAGGGAGATGATGTCTTTCATGCGGCAAACCAAAAGCGGTTTTAAGGGCATTTTAACGAGTTTTCGTAAAACTCTTGATATGTTCTTGGCGCTGGACACCCAATTTAATAGCCTTACGCTATTAAATGAGTCTCCTAGGCGCAAAAAAAACTGCTATTGGTGGGCAGCATGTAGACGGACCCCAACTACCTGCAACGGGCTTTCAGCAGCAGCCTCCCTCGGCACAGCCCTCGACCTCAGCATTAATTCCAAGAGTGCTGAGATCGAGCGCTAGAAAAGATTCGGTATCCGAATGTGCAGCGGGAGTGCCCGTACCGCCGGTGATTTCTGCTTTATCGCCTGGGGGGTCGCAAATATTGACCCCTCAAAGTCTCGTTCACATAAATATATCTGCCCAGGGTGTTAGGCCCGGAATACCGGCCGACAATGGCACGGCGGATAACCAATCTGCCTTGCCAAAAGCCCTTATAGCTGTTCCACCAACGAGACATATTTTTGTCTCGCGGCTCTCCCCTGACCAAACATCGGAAGATGTTCTCGCCTTTATACAAGGCAAAACCAGAGCCGAAAAAATTAAGATAAAGGTGGAAAAGTTCAAATTTTCTTACGCAAGGGACATTTCATCTTTCAAAATAAATGTCCCTAACGAGCTCTTTAACACTATTTGCTCTCCCAACTTCTGGCCAGAGCACATCGTTGTTAAGGAGTTCGAGGCGAAGAAAAAGAAAAAACGGCCTGTAGGAATAACTCTTCCTAGGCCTGATGATACCACTGCGCCTTCTACGTCTTCCAATCCCCATCCAAAAACTAACCTACTCCTTAGGTATTTCCTATCAGAATGCAAGAGGCTTACGTAGTAAGCTCCCTAACTTGTATTCTGATAGCCTTTCGTTTGCATCTCAGGTTATTGTGCTCACAGAAACCTGGTTAAAGCCGGAGATTCTGAGCTCCGAAGTTTTTCCAGCTGTGTTCACAGTATATCGGCTAGATCGCCCTATCAGACGCGGGGGTGGAGTTCTAATAGCGGTGGACTCCTCACTCACGTCAGAATTATTAACCTTCGAGGAATGTAACAATGTTGAATTCCTCTGTGTGAAGGTATCTATCAAAGGTAGCTCCATTTTTATTACCTGTTCCTACATACCTCCACTGTCGGAACTTCCTATTTATTGGAATCACCTTTCCGCTATTCAGATGGTTTCCAGTAGACTTTTGGATAGAGACCAGTTGGTAGTTCTAGGAGATTTTAATATCCCTGGTGCTATTTGGTGCTCAAATAATTCCACCAATACTCTCCATACACCTACACAACATGACTTTATCGCTGGCTTGTTTGACATTTCGCTGTCTCAAGTCAACCATGTTCGAAATTCCTTACAGCGCTTGCTCGATCTTTGCTTCGTCTCTGATCCTGCGAGAGTCAGTTTAGCAAGGGTGGCGCCTCTGACGCAGCCCGAAGATCCTTATCATCCAACTTACGATGTGACTCTTGATATTGGGTGTGACGTACAGAATATTTCTGACCGTCCAGCCAATAAAGTCCTATGTTTTCGCAAAACGGACTTTGAACGGTTGAATAATTTTATAAACGAGTTCAATTGGTCTGATCTATACATGTGCACTGACATGGCAGTTGCCGTTGATATTTTTTACAGTGCCATGAACTCATTTTTTACTGAATGCGTTCCGTTATATTATCCGCCAAGCTCGAATAAACCGCCGTGGTTTACTAAAGAGTTGAGGCGACTTAAAAATAAAAAATCTAGACTGTACGCTAAATTTAAAATCACCGGTTCTCAATCTGCCCTTTCATCTTATTTATCAGCTCGGTCAAACTTTACCGTGCTGAACGCGCAGTGTTATAAAAACTATTTAACTCGTTGTAGGGCCCAGTTCTCACAGGACCCAAAACAGTTTTATAATTTCGTTAACACTAAACGTAAACCTAAAACAAATCCTTCCTCGCTTTCATTTGAAAATACTACCGCAAATAATGATCAGGCAATAGCCGATCTATTTTCGCAGTTTTTTCAAACAACCTATTCTAGCTCTTCGTATATATACCAGACTTATTCCTACGACATACCCAAATTGAACTTAATTTTCTGTCCTAGCCTAAACGAAAGCTCTCTCCTTTTAGATCTTCATCGTGTCAAGCCAGTTTATTCGCCAGGTCCCGACGGAATTCCTGGCTGTGTGCTCAGGTATTGTGCCGACGCCCTGTGCTATCCCCTTCTGAAATTGTTTACCTTGTCCTTAGAAACCTCCCACTTTCCCATTATTTGGAAGGAATCGTTTATTATTCCTCTCCACAAAAAAGGTAGCAAATTGGATGCCAGCATTTATAGAGGAATCTCTAAGTTGTCGGCCATCCCTAAATTATTTGAAAACATTATCACCCCTCACTTACAGCACCTTTGTAGATCGGTTATTTCTCCATATCAACATGGTTTTATGAAGCGAAGATCAACAACAACAAATCTTTTGGAGCTCTCTTCCTATATTATAAAGGGCTTCCATAATAATTGTCAGACAGATGTAATCTATACTGATTTCAGTAAAGCATTTGACTCTGTTAACCATTCTCTCCTCGTTAGAAAACTCGATTCAATGGGTTTTCCAAGTGATCTTCTTAATTGGATCTCCTCCTCTTTAAGAATAATTTATCCAATGTTCTAAGGGTTACATCTGGTGTCCCGCAAGGAAGCCATTTGGGACCCTTATTGTTTACATTGTTCATAAATGACCTGCCCAAAGTCTTGACTAACTCCAGAGTACTTATTTACGCGGATGACGTCAAGCTTTGCGTGCAATACAATGACGTTGCCTGCCAGTCGGATTTACAAACAGATCTTAATAATTTTCAAACTTGGTGCCGTGTAAACTTATTAAACTTAAATGGCTCGAAATGCAAGCTAATGACATTCTCTCGTGTCGCTCCTAAGCTTGCTACTTACACGCTGAACGGCTGCTCTTTGGAAAGAATTAATACAGTTGACGATTTGGGCGTCCGCTTGGACCCAAAACTTGACTTTATTGATCATATTTCGTCTATGGTGAATAGAGCCAGGGGTGTGCTTGGATTTATTAAACGGTGGTCGAAGGAATTCAATGACCCCTATGTTACTAAATCCTTATATACTTCCTTAGTTCGTCCTATCCTAGAATATGGATGCTGCGTTTGGAGCCCTCAGTACGGCGTCCATAGTAAACGCATTGAGTCGGTTCAAAAGAACTTTTTACTTTTCGCTCTACGCGGTTTAAATTGGGATGCAAACCAAAGATTACCTTCCTACTCTAGTAGACTCCTATTAATAAACTTGCCGTCCTTAGCCAATCGTAGAACGATGCTAGGGATAACCTTTATTTTTAACCTTATCCATGGTGATGTGGAAAGTGCTGACTTGTTGAGTCAGCTTAATCTCCATGTACCATGTAGAACTACTAGATCCTATATCCCATTAGTGTTGCGCCACTGTAGAACCTCCTTCGAACTACATAAACCTTTTAGAGTGTTTTGTGCAAATTATAATGATTTGTACACACTAATCTCTAACGTAGATACCCTTCCCAAATTAAAATCTTTAATACTAACACACTTAGAAAGCATGCAAGCTAACAATCTGGCAGCACGCCGA